ATGAAAAAGACAAACAAAAAGACCTGTGTAACACATCCCCAGAAGGAAATGGCCCTGGTGTCCCAGAGGGAATTGGCCATGGATTTGGGGACAGTGGTGGAGATGGAGCCAATGTCAAGGAGGGAGAGGTTGAGGAGGAAGAAGTACATGGGGGTGTGCAGGCGGTGGTCGCAGCCTATGGCTGTGATGATCAGGCTGTTGCACACGATGGCAGCCAGGTAGATGGCCAGGAAGAGGGAGAAGTGCAAGAGCTGCAGCTCCCGTGTGTCTGTGAATGCCAGGAGGAGGAACTCGTTGAGGGAGCTGCCATTGGACATTTGCTTTTGGTTCAGAGCACTGTTCAATGAGGAAAAAGCATCAACAAGTTAGTGAACATCTACACGTATCATCTAGACAAGAAGTGGCAACATCTCAGGACAGTCCCTATCAGGCCCCTTATCCTGTAGCGGGAAAGGACCAGGCTTCAGGAGAGACACAGCCCCTCTTCCACCAAGAATGGTCCTCATGACTGGCAATCCATGGCCTTGAGGGCTGGGAGAGGAGACAGGGGGCTTGCTTGAGAGGAAGACATCTGCTTAGCAGGGACTGACCAAGGCTGATCCAAACGCCCCTCTCACTGCAAGTGCCTTTCTAGTTCCCTCCCACTAACTGATCCTGTCTCCACGGATGGAGCTTTTCCTCCAAACTTTTCCACCACCTTCCAGATGTTGCCCAGAAGGACACTGTGGGCAGGAGGGATCGTGCAGTAACACCATGATAGCTGTGCCAAGGGAGGCAGTTCCAGGCAGGGACACAGGAGCACTCAGAAGTGTCTCCTCTCCTGGATATCTGGCTGCTCCAGGAGAACTGCTGCCCTGGCCCCCATGGCCTGGAGAGCAGAGGGCTGTGCTGGTGTGGAGAGGAGAGGAGGCGCTGGATGTGGCCATTCCCTCTTACCCTCTGACCATGATTCTATTGCCTGGAGTCGTCCACGCAGGAGCTGTTTCTCTGTCCCCACATCTCTGCCCTGTCCATGTTCACAGATCCCACTGCACCCGCTGGGCTGCCCTGCAGACACCTCGCAGGAGCAGGACCCGATTGTGTTTGCAGGTGCAAAGCAGCAGGTGAGACAAACCTCGCCAAGGCTGGAAAAAGGATTCTGGCTGGGAATCCCTTCTCTAAAGAACCACCAGCTCCAAGAAGGACAAGCTGGGAGAGCCACACTGACACATCCAATGAGATGCTGAAGGTGCCATGTTCAGAAGTTCCCCTCAGGATCCACAGCAGCGTAGCCCTGCAGCCAGACACTTACCGTGTCATGGACTGGGAATATTTCTCCTGCAGTGAGCTCTTAATCATCTTCCCATCCCCAACTGTCCTTCACTTAGGAGCGACTCATCCCTGCCTGGTGCCTGCGGGCAGTGCCCTGAGTCTTGGGCTCCTTTAAGAGGAGCTGCTCCTGGGCAGAGCTGTCTCTCTGCAGCGCCTGCCACGTTGCCAGGGGCTCCCGCAGTCCCAGGAGCCAGGCCCAGCTCAGGAGCAGGGCCCCAGCTGGAGACGGGACACTTTCTGTCCCCTGAGCAGCCTCCAGGGGTTTCTGGGGCTCCAGGGCTGTGAGAGGGGAAGCTGTTTGGGTGTCTACAGGATGTATGTACTTGGCTGCAGGTAGGAACCAGCATAGGACAGGCTCTGCTGAAGAGAGAAAAAGGGGATCAAAGGGGATCAAAGCCACCAAAGGAGCAAAGGAGATCTTCATGCTCTTGGTATGGCTGTTGTCTCTGCCACCAACACAGACACCCTGAAAGGTGTCATATCATTGTCCTGCCCTGAGCACTGTACACCCCCAACCACTCACTGTCCAGAGGAAAACCTGAAAAACGTGTAGGAAAAAAGCCCCCTTCCCAGAAGCTCCGTGACCGAGCCTGGACATTTGGCCTGATAAAACATCAAGGGTTAATGTGGCTTTAGAGCCACCTGCACGTTTCCTCTGCCTACCTGTTATCAGCGATGGCAATTTTCTTCTCTCATCAGCCCCTGGGGAGTCTTCGCTGTTAACAGCTAGCAGTGGGACCCATTAAAACTCAACCAAAAGTTGGGATTTATTTTCACTTTGAATTCTTCCGTGTTTATTTCAGTCTCCTCTCAGTTACTGAGGTTCATGGGCTCAATACCAAATACACCATAGGGATCATTAAAATGCAAAAAGCTCTCACAAATCATGCATCTTCCTGTAATTTTTACCAAGTCTTGCCTGGCTAATTATAGAGGTTTGGGGATTTTAGCTGAACCGTGGAAACATCAGTAATATACAAGTATTTCTGCTTTTAAAGTGTTTCATGTTATTCTTGTTATTCAGCTTTCAGAGGAAGTGACAGCAGCATTCTCTCCAACTGGAATCAATCCAGAATGACTCCTGATGAAGTCTGGACATGTAGAAAACAAGGATCCCAAACCTGAAGCACTCTATAGACACTCCTACTCTCTCCTCSCCAACTTGGCCATTCCTCTCTTCAGCCACCTGGGATTTCCATCACTCTTGTTAGAAGGCTCCCTGTTCTTCTGAGATCAGCAACTGAAGGTTACAGCTCATCTGTCCCAAATCCCCACTTTTTTTTTTTCCTTAGAGAACTAGTTACAAATAATTATATTTTTTTTTCTTATTTGCAAAGAAACAGAAATAAAGCATGAAATATTTTCATAAAGACTAATGATGCTCTTTGAGTGTAGGCTAAGCTTTAAACTCCCTGAAGTGTAAACCTTTGTTCTCTGAATGAACAAAGAGGAATGGGAGTCACAATACTGCAATTTAACAATGGCCAGCTCGTGTCCCATAAAGACGGTGTTAGGAATTATCAARTTAARCAGGACACAAGTGAATAGGAGAGTCATACAGCTCCTGCAGACCCTGAGTCATGATGCAGGACATGCTGCTTTGGGACATCACAAATCTGCCTGTGCCTCTCTACAAAAGTAGGGAAAAGCCTGTGATGCAAGACCCTAGAGAGAAGAGATTTTCCTGGCTGGTCAGGGTGACCCAAGCAGGACTTGGGGATGTCAAAGGAAACCCAACGCACCAACACCAAAAGCACTGCAGCTTCCTGAACCCTCRTGCTAGGAGCRGKAGGKGGCAGGAAAAACAGCCATGTCTTAGACTTTCTCCATCAGACCTTCAGCTCCACAACTTGTCATGGCTTCAAGGGAGCTTGCATGTTTTTGCYGAAAAGATCTTGCACTGGTGAATAAAGCAACTAGCTAAAGCCCCTCTATCCTGCCAGTGCCTTTGCACCCTTTCTCCAAGGAGAACATGATTGCACAGAAAGTTACAGGTCTCCAATCTCTTCCAATCCTGTCTATGCCCTAAAGGCAGGTGGAGCTCTGAGGTCCTCAGTCTCCCTCCTCCTCATTAAGGAGCTGCCTTTCCCTGTGGGTGCAGAGCTCCGCAGGTGTCAGCCCCTCCACAGTCCCCGTCAGGAAAACCCTGCTGTCCCCACTGCTGCTGCCGGCTCCTCARYRGCTCTGGCAGCAGGGACCTCAGCACCAGCACCCAACGGGAGCCTCCTGCYGGCCCAGCAGCTCCTGGGACAKCGGGCACCTCGCACRYGCCCAGSCCAGCGGGGGCTGCTGCTGCCAYGGGCTGCAGGGACACCAGGGTCCTGGGCAGAGCCGCCCTGCCCAGGGAGGGACTGCTGACATCACCATCACCTGCCCACCCACTGCCCATCCTGGACAATCAGGGGCTGCGGCAGCAGTGACCTCACCAGCCGACGCCCACACATCAGCACAGAGCAGCCCTGTGGAGAGAAGGGAGCTCCCCGCACTGTCCCCRCAATGGCCTCCTTGTCCCTGCTGCTGCTGGGACACGTGTGGCCTCCCAGGCAGCGCCTGCTGCTGCCCGGGCAGCTCCTCGCACACAGGGACCTCCCCGCGTGTTGGCAGCAGACCCGCGCTGCTGCTGGGACAGGAGCGGCCCCAGAGCCTGGCCCAGCCACGGGCCAGCTCTGACCTTGCAGCTGCTCCGTCATCAGGGACCTGCCAGGGAACTGCCCACCAGGGACAGCGGGAATGAATGTGCAAGTGGAGGACCTTGTCCTGCCTGTGCTCCATGAACGCACACGAAGCACAACCCAACCAGCACCATGTTGGGAGWGYRTTTAGRCCCTCTACATGAATCCCAACAGAGCAAGACAGTTTGGGAGGGTGGAGAGCAGCCCTGGAAAGAGAATGTCCTGCTGCTGTGGTTGGACATGGCTCCAGGAAACCTGAAGCCCTCATGCAATGGCTGTTGTGACTAAACACCTACTGGGGTAGTGCCAAAGGTGACTCTGACAAAACCAAGCTGTCCTCATTGCACATGGGGCATGAGAGTCACCTCAGGCGAGCAGACTCTGAGGATCCCTCCTCCCTGCTGCTGCAGGGGTAAGCCTAGCGTCCTGTTTAAACATGGTCTCTATAAGCACAGGTCTATCTATATCTCTCATGATCAGAATCAGCAGAGCTTGATTGAACTTGAACTGAAATAGCATGAACTAGATTTTTACTTTTATTATTACTATTATTATTTTTTATTAAGAATGTAAGAGGGAAAATTGAGCAAGAAAGAGA